GTTCTTAAAGATGAATTCTGCTCAGTAGAAGGTCTGAAATTTATAAATAGGAAGAGCTTGGGGTCTGCAATCTGGCTGAAAGGGACCCAGGAACCTCAGAAGGCAACATTTCCCTGGCAAGCATGCTGTTTACTTAGAATAAGGGCTTATTTGGATGGATTGAGGGTGATAGAAGTTATGAGAGGGAGTCAACAAGCCTGTGGTTTGCTTCTCTCTCAAAGAGTCTTAGCAATATTTGAATCCTTTAGACAGCGCACGTGTTACCTGGGTCACTGCAGTCTTCACTACCTCTGGTCCTATAACTGACCAGCTTCCCTCATTCTCAATCTGCCCAGACCCTGAGATCATCTGACTTTGCAGGTCTGTAGTAGAACTTATTTCAGAGTCCATACCGCTTTAAAATTATGAAATGATATCTAAAGGCTTTCTATTCTGTGCCAGGGCACAAGTTCTTACCAACACAGAAAAGAGCCACTGCTACCCAATATTTTTAACTACATATCCTCACACGGCAATGAATTCTCAGGTAAAAATCTTTTTGTGAATGCCATATCGCTCCATAGCAATATAGTCTATGATGAACACAGATGTCCTTTTTAAGAAAAATTTGACACTGGAGATCAAAATTAATACATAAATGAATAAATAAGGCACATTATAATAGTATAAGGTTGCCAGATTTGGTTAAAAAATGTATGTGGATTTCAGATAAATAACAAATAATTTTTTACTATATATCCTATGCAATATTTGCAACAAATTGGACATAATTATACTAAAAATTATTCATTATTTATCTGAAAGTTGATTTTAGCTAAGCATCTTTTATGCTATCTGGCAATCTATAATTGCTTTCTATTTTTTGCTTGCTATAGACTGAATATTTGTGTCCCCTCAAAATTCATCTGTTGAAATTCTAACTGCCAATGTAATGGTATTAGGAGGTGGAGCCTTCGGCAGGCATGGGGCCAGAGCCCTCATGAACTGTATCAGTGCCCTTATAAAAGAGACTTCAGCGAGCTCCTTTGCCCTCCACCATGTAAGGAGGCAGCAAGAAGATGGCCATCTGTGAACCAGGAAGCTGGTCCTCACAGACAACACATTTAGTGGTGCATTGATCTTGTAATCCCCTGCTTCTAGGCCTATGAAAATAAATGTCTGCTGCATATAAGCCTTTCAGTCTATGGCTTTTTACAAATTTTTATTTTTATGGCAGTACATATGAAGATACTGCTGTAACAAATTACCACAAACTTAACAGCTCAAAGCAACATAAATTTATTATCCTACAGTTCTGAAGGTCAGAAGTATAAAATGTGTCTATAAGGTTACAATCCTTCCAGAGGCTCTAGGAGAAAATCCATTTCCTTGCCTCTTCCAGTTTTTAGAGGCCCCTACACTCCTGGCTTACGGACACCCTCCTCTACCTTCAAAGACAGCAGTGTGACATCTTCATTCTGACTTTGCTTCTGTCATCCTATCTCCCTCCCTTTCCCCCTTTCTTTTACCTTCTCTCCCTCCCACCTGCTGCCCTCTTATTAAGACCCTTATAATTATACTGGGCTCACCCAGATAATTGAGGATAGTCTCCTTAGCTAAATCCTTAATTTAATCACAGGGGGTTTTACATTCTATAACATCAAGAAAAAAATATAGAAGGAAAATATATACTACAGTCAACATATGAGTGTTCATTTGTCACTGCATACAATCTTTCAACATAAAAAGTGCTATGTGGTTTCCAGTTTCAGTTCTGAAAAACAACAATGAAACAAAAGTCTTTGTTAAACTATAGTTGAAAGTCAAAATTCCCTTAAATTAAAAAATAGCTAAATTTGTCAGAATAAAAGAATACAATTTTTTACTTTTTCTAGTAGTAAAATCTATTCACATGCCTTAAAGAAGATTTGGGAAATTCATAAAGAAAAAAACCAAAAAGAAAAAAAATTTTCCCCAGAATTCCACTATTCAGAGATAACCATTCTTAATATTTCATATTATTTCCTTCCAGGATAATTTTTGAGACAACAATTTCTAATATAGACAACTTGTACAGCAGATACATTATATGGTAATAAAATAGTAAGGTTTCATTTGTTTACTCATTCATTCATTCATCCATCAATTCTTTCACCAGATGTACCATAATAGGCCATTCACCATTTATTCACAAAGTATACTGCCAGTCTCAGTAGGTACTAAAAGGTTAATAAGGCATGGACTCTAGCAGAAGTGTATTAAAATTCCCTTGGGCACACTTAACAAAAGACCAACTCAAACATATTGGCTCACCTAACTGGAAAGTGGTGCAAACTAGTAATTCTACATAAGAACTCCACTTTTCGTGTTTCTCAGTTCTGCTGGCCTGTTTCTGACTTCATTTTCAAAAGGTTCTCTCCATGTGGTAGCATAATGTCCTCTGCCAGTTTCAGGCTTGTATGGTCTTTAGAGTTTACGATCCCAGAGAAGAAAACCTTCTCTCTCCGTGTTCACATGTCAAAACTGACAGGAAACTCTGCTTGCCCCTGGCTGGGAGAACAGTTAATGGGAGTCCAGGAGGGGATTCTATAATCGTGAGGGCCTGGTCACACCCACAACCACACCTGCTATCAACATTAAGCCAGAATCACAAGGGTCAGGGAATGGCATTTATCTGAGAAACAGAAGTGTTCTGGTCAAAGCAACAGATATTTAATGAAAAGGACACATACTCAAATCGTTCTTTTTTGACAGATCATCCAGGTTAATATGGCTGATTCCAACTGATTATTCTTTTAAGAGCAGAATGTATAATATTATTAGAATCTCTTCTCAAAATTTTTTTTCCCTGAAATTTTTTTTCCTCTTCTCAAAAGCTATTTTTCCCTTGAAAGCATAGACTAATTTCTCCGTGAGTGTTCACATTTCTTACTAAACACAAGTCTGTGAGGTAAATGTATGTTATGATCGCATGTAGATGTGAGTGGAGATGGGCCATATACCTTTGGATTAACTCCTTGAAAAGCAAATGCAAGAGTGTTACAAAGACAATAATATAATAGTGAAAGGAGAAAAGAACTGTGGAAGTTCCACAAATGTGTACGGAAAGTAAAGACAAGATGATCAGGCAGCAATCCTGGAACAGCAATCTGTCATGCTGAATTTGGGCAGTTTCACCGGAAGCCTTTGTCAAGCCAACAAAGGAAGGAAATTAACATCTGAACAGCCATATTGCCCAAAATGTTTCATTAGATGTTTTCATTTGAATCACTTAACACAGATCAACTATTATTTCCAATCTAAAGATACAGAACCCAACACTCAAAAAGATTATTTAATGTACTCAAATTTCCATTTGAGCTGAAGTTTATCTGAAGCCAAAGTCCATTCTCTTTCCACTACTAAGCTGCCTTGCAGGAAAGAATAAATTATTTCAATAAAGGCCTATTTCATCTCTGAAGGGAAAGAGAAATTACTAAATTGCCAATGAAATAACTCATTTGAAAGATGAACTCAACAACCAGGAGTCCTGGGGTAAAACTGTACTATAAAAATGAACTTATGCTGTTAAACTTAAATGGCCTGTACCCTGTATCCCCTTGTCTATTTTGAAAACTAGTCTTTTTCTGTACACTTTCTTCCTTCACAGTTTCTGTCTCCAGACCATGGGGAGTTCTTCCCATCTCAGTCTTTGCTTGTGTTACGGGTTCTGCGTTGAAATACTTTTCCTTTCCTCCAGATGATATCAAGGTTGCTCCTTCTCATCACCAAGGATTTACTTAACTTAAAGGTCACCTCTACAAAGTCACCTCTTCCTACCCCTGCCCCTATTGAGACAGCATTCCTATTCTCAGCTTGCACTTAACAATATGTGAAACTGTTCCATTTGTTTGTTTAGGTTTTCATTGTCTCTTCCAAAGAGAATATACATTTGAGAGAAAGGCTCTTATCCACCCCCTGTTCCTCCAGCGCTTAAATTATTCTTGGGCACAGTAGGCCCGCTTTAAATGTTGAGGACTTGGATTGAAAGTGGTACAAACTGAGACTAAAACGTATCACTGTTAGAAAAAAGCGTGTGAGAAGAGACAAAAGAAGCCGATGGAGCCCGTGTAGGAGTTACAGTGCCTACCACCTCTAAAGAAAGGGAAACAAAAATAATAAGATGCAAACGCTTAAACAGCGTTTACTGCACGCCCGACATTGCTGTAGCATTTGTGACATGTATTCACTCGCTTCTGTCTCTAGTCAGGAGCGAGTTTACCACCCCTCTTCTTGCAGGAGAGTCTCGTGAAGCACCCAGGCTAAGCAACGCGTCCAGGTCACAACTCCACCGTGGACGACTGTGACCCAGGGCACGTTACTCAGCCTATGTCAGAATTTGAACCCCAGCAATTTAGGGTTCTTATGAAGTTCTCCTTGATATTTCCTTTGCAGGAAAGCTGAGCGGCTGGCAGCACGGCTCCACGGAGGTTTCTCTATGCCCGTAAACATAAGTTTTCGACTTAAAATGCCTGTGATGACTGTAAGAAACAAGCAGCAGCTCAGATGCAGCCCACGGCGGTGCTGACCCCTCGTTACCCGTGGGAGCGCTCACTTCCCCAACTGCTCAGATCCCACAAGACGGGGCCGTGGCCACGGCCGGGGTCGCCGTCTCAGCTCCCTCTCCGCCCCGTCCCCCTGCCACCCGGTCTTCCAGCGGTCGTGCCACCTGTAATGCGCAACCCGTCTAGCCCCAACCCCCTAGGCCTGACGAAAGGGGAAGCGTGAGAGCCGTCCACTGACATTTCCTGTCCTTCCGACGCTTATTGCTCGTGTCCTTTTCTGCGCGAACTCTGCCACCCAAGACGCACAACCCGGCGTTTCCGCAGCCCCAGTCGCCCCGGCCTCCGCTCGCCGGCCCCGCCCTCGCTGTGCGTCTGCGCAGTGGCGCAGTGGCCACGGCCTGCCCCTCCCCCTCCTGCCGCCGCGCCCCGATGACATCAGTCTCCTGAGCCGCAGAGTGACCGGGGAGTTGCGGCCGTGTGGGTTTTCTTTCCCCGGCTGACTCTGGCGCCCGCAGGGGCCCGCGACCCTCCGCCATGAAGGAGACGCCACTCTCAAACTGCGAGCGCCGCTTTCTCCTCCGCGCCATCGCAGAGAAGAAGGTAAATGGCCCCGCCGAGCTGCGCTCCGCGTGGGCGCCCGGGGTGGACTCGCGGACCTGGCCCGCGCGTCCCGGGGAGTCCCCGGGGTGGCCACGCGTTCCCCCAAAGCCTCAGGCGTTACTCTTCTTCCACGGGTTCTCCAAAGCTTGAGTCACCCCAGCAGCAGTGGGTGCCGTCGTTTTCACTTTCCTGTTGGGGTGCGACGGTTAGGATCCCACTTTCCGCCTAATGCTCAGCCCCGAGCCCGACACAGAGTATGTACTTGCTCACTAAATATGTGCTGAGGAATAAATGAATGAATGTTGTGCTTACAGCGACTGGATGGCAGACAAACCTATGACTATAGGAACATCAAGATCTCATTCGGAACAGATTATGGGTGCTGTATTGTGGAACTTGGGAAGACAAGGTAACAGGATTCGAATTAGATACAGATTAACGAGGAAGAGTTTTAAAATAACCTAATTGACCCAATTGTTTACAAAGCAACTGAGAAGTCTGGACAGTACCTTGTTTAGCTGCCAAAAATAAGTTTTTTAAATTAGTGCAAGATTTTTTTTGGCTTTGCGGTCACACTTAGATCTAAATGAAATTTAAATGTGTTTTCTGTCGGTTGAGTATCAAGTACTTTCTATAAGTCGTATAGGCAACCAACAGTGATTACTCTTTGTTTTCTACATGTTTCATATTATAGTATGCGGAATGTAGAGCTCTTGAGCGTCTTGTCATTTCTTCTTTTTCCTGAGTGATAATGGGAATTAGGTTTTTATTATTTATTTGAAAGTTGTGAGGCTATTTGGTCAGATAATGTTGGTGAACCATGCCATATGAAAAACTTTAAGAAATCTCAAGTGCCACCTTCTATCAAAGATTTAAGAAAAGAGAAGTAAAGACCATTTATTATTTTTAAAAAAAAATCTGTGGCTAAGTAAATACTGTAACAAAGAGAGGTTTTTTTTCTGTCATCTTTTTGGATATAACAATATATGTTTTATTTCTGTGTATATTCTGTTTTATATGTAGTTTCTACCTCTTATGATACATCTTGTTCTGTATGTTATTACTCGAGTAAGAGTGAAACTTAATTGTTATCTGTTTTAGATTTGTTTTTAATTTGAAAGGAAATACATTTAGTTAATGGCTTTGCACCTTTACCTTTTGCAGAGTTCTTGGACAGGTTTCCTGTGAACTTGTTTCTCCAAAACTCAATAGGGCAACAGAAGGTATTCTTTTTTTTAACCTTGAACTCTCTCAGATGGCTGCCCCAGCATTTGAACCTGGCAGGTATTTAAAATCATTTCCTTAAGCTGCTTTAGTCATAGGAGAGCCTAACAGCAGTGAGTTATTGTTTTAATGTCTAGTGTTATATTTCATGACATTACCCCATTCCTCTTTTCATAGGCAGTCAGATCTCTTGGTGAAGTTGAATCGACTCTTGGAAAGATGTCTGAGAAATTCAAAGTGTATAGACACTGAATCTCTCTGTGTTGTTGCTGGTGAAAAGGTAGGGAATATGGTCAAAATTCTTAATCTTAGGATGAATATTCTCGATCATGGGTTCCTATATCTATGCTTTTTTTCTCAGTGCCGTAGTTAATTCAGATTTGTACTGGTTCACGTCACTTCAGAAGTTCTTAAGTGCTTCCCTTATAACTTTGTGCTATCTCTTGCTGTCTGAAGGGTTAAAAAACATTGTCTTTAAAGAGTGAAAATAGCAACTAGGGTTGGTTAAAAATGTTTTATTCAAAAACGTGTTTTTTCCATAAAACCTCTATTTTCTTATGTTATTTAAGTGAGTTGATAGAAGGAGTGGTGTTTTTCTTTTTTATAGATAAAGAACTGAAGAACAGATGAAATCTTTCATTTAGATAGGTTTATTGATTTGCACAGGGCCATACAGTGAACTGGTGGGTAGAGCTGACATTGGAAATCTTAGTCCTAATAAATTGTGTTACATGAGGATATTAGAATTTTTTTTTTTGATTAAGGTATTTTGACCAGTTTTTTGTTTTGTTTTGTTTTGTTTTTGAGTTGGAATCTCACTCTGTCACCCAGACTGGAGTGCAGTGGCACGCTCCTGGGCCACCGCAGCCTCGACCTGCTGGGTGCAGGTGATCCATCTGCCTCAGCCTTCCAAGTAGCTGGAACTACAGGCACACGCTACCACGTCCAGCTAATTTTTGATTTATTGTAGAGACGAGGTCTCGCCAAGTTGCCCAGGCGGGTCTCGAACTCACAGGCTCAGGCAATCCACTTGCTTCGGCTTCCCAAAGTGCTGGGATTACAGGCTGAGCCGCTGTGCCCAGTCTGACCAGTTTTTAACTCCGGAGAAGTCACTTAGCTTTTCACATTCCATACCTGAATATAATACTTTCTAGATTTTGTTACTTGTAAGGCTATCAAAACTATTATGTAAAACCTGGTTTTTAAATTAGCAGATATAATACAAATATAGTTAGATTTGGAGTTCGGAAACTCTTAGTATCAAACATTAGAGTGGTTCTATTTATTTAGAGTATATATTTTACTGTTGTCAAATGACTAATAGAATGGTGAACTATTGTTTTTTCAGTTGTTTGCCTCAAACATTTTCTAAATATATTTTTTGTTGATAAACTAGAAGTAGTAACTGCATGTTTTAACAGCAAGAAAAAAAATTATATACAGTGTTACTTTTCCTAATAAATAGCCACTAGTTGTGATCAGTTAGGATTTATTTTTATTTTAAATTCGCTTTCAGGTTTGGCAAATACGTGTGGACCTACATTTATTAAATCATGATGGAAACATTATTGATGCTGCAAGCATTGCTGCAATTGTGGCCTTATGTCACTTCCGAAGACCTGATGTCTCTGTTCAAGGAGATGAAGTAACACTGGTAAGCTCTCATGATGTGAGCCACGGTCCGTTTTATGAATGAATGAGTATCCTAAACGTGCAGGCAACTGTTACTAGTAAAGTTATGTCGTAGAAGACAATTAAGTAGGTTTTAACATTTGTTGATAAGGCAGAAATTCCATCTGGTCAAAATTGCCTTAGAAATCTCTTAAGTTTTCTATATTGAAATGCCTGTCAATAAGAACACACCCTAGCTTGATCTAGAGTAAAACTAGATGCGTACTTATTTGGATTGAGTATTAGATGAAGTGGTTGACTTGCGTTTAGGGGCCACATATGTGAAAAAGACATGCTTGTCAGCACAGTGAAATACCCTGCAAGAGGCATGCAGTAACTGAATGGGACTGAGGGATCAGCAGATTCACATCTCTCTCTAGGATTTTTGTTCATTAAGCAAAATAGATGGCAGAAGTCCATCAGAGGCTCGGGAGGACTTTAAGCCATATTGCTCTGCTCTACTCCCAAAGTAGGACAGGGGTAGGATCTAAGAATTTGTGCTTCTGAGTTCTCTGATAATACCGGTGTTACTGCTCCAGCAGCACATTTTGAAAACCATTGATCTATATTGTCTTTCTCTTTTATGCTGAGTGTGTCAGTTCCGATTTACATAAATCACATGCTAGAATAATGAAAGTGCGCTGTAGTCATAGTTTGGAGCCTAAAGTTTCAAAAGGAAATGTCAGGTGCCAAAATTTTTTTTTTTTTGAGTTGGAGTCTTACTCTGTCACCCAGACTGGAGTGCAGTGGCCTCTCCCGGCCACCGCAGCCTCGGCCTGCTGGGCTCCGGCGATCCTTCCGTCTCAGCCTTCTGAGTAGCCAGAATTACAGGCATGCGCCACCACGCCCGGCTGATTTTTTGATTTATTGTAGAGATGAGGTCTCGCTGCCCAGGCAGGTCTCGAACCCGCGGGCTCAGGCAATTCACTCACCTCAGCCTCCCAAAGGCGCGGGATTACAGGCTGAGCCACCGAGCCTGGCTGGTGCCAAAATTTTTAAAGCAATGATTCATAATACTGCTTTTAGGCATTAGACTGGAGCAGACCCTTGAAAGACATTGAGATAGTGATGTAGATTACTATTAGTGGAGATAATGTTCCTTTAGAGGAGGGAGTTGGAATAAGGAAGTAAATAAACAGTAGAGAGTGATTAGTAGAATTGAAATTAATTTTTAAAATACTGTAGTGTTGTTGCTGGTGGGAATGTAAAATGTACAGCCAACTTGGAAAAGTTTGGCAGTTTCTTAAAAAGTTAAGCATAAACATTTTACATTCAGAAAAATAATAATGGAAGAAGAAAATACTCGTATGTACGTCTTCCTGCATATTCAACCTTGTAACATTAAAATAAATTATAAATTATAAATTAGAACCAGGAGAAAAAATTTTCAGCAGTTTCACGCCTAGAATCTACAGGAGGAATAAGAGCATATGTTCATTCAGAGACTTGTATGTAAATGTTCATAGCAGCGTTAATCGTAATAGCCAAAAACTGGAAACAATTCAGATGTTCATCAGCTGGTGAATGGATAAACAAAATGTGGTATGTTCATATAATGGAATACTATTCAGTAATAAAAATTACTAAACTGATACCTGCTACAAGGTAGATGAGGCATGTACAACTGAAAGAAGCCAGGTACAAAAGATTATAAATTGTTTGATCCCATTTATATGGAATGCTCAGAAAAGGCAGATTTATAGACAGAAAGCAGATAGATTAGTGTTTGTTTGGGGCTGAGGTGAGTGAGGATTGTCTATAAACAGGTTCAAGGGAATTTAGAGGGATAATGGAAATGCTAAAAAACTGGATTGTGGTAATGGTTTCATCACTTTGCGTTTGTTAAATATTGAGTCATTTACTTACAATGAGGGATCTTACGGGATGTAAATTATACTTCAATAAAGCTTTTTGAAAAAGATGTACAGTTTTGAGGAACATGAGTGGCAAAGACAGACAGGTAATTGTAAAAGAAGTTATTTAGGTACTCACTGAGGATAGAAGGAATTTCCTTTTTTATTTTAGTATTTGATGTACAAGATTTTTTGTGTGTGTGTTCATAATTTAATGACTGTAATTATTAAACCTTTTCTTTTCAAACAGTATACACCTGAAGAGCGTGATCCTGTACCATTAAGTATCCACCACATGCCTATTTGTGTCAGTTTTGCCTTTTTCCAGCAAGGGTAGGTCTTGCCTTGTCATGGACCAGAATTATAAGCACAGCTAGAACTTTGTGGCTCTACTCATATGTGTCATAGACAAATGAAAAAACACCTCCTTTAATGTTAAAGCACTTATGGTTCTTTTATTTCTTTTAAGGGCATTAGTTGGCAGAGAGCTTCTTCTTAATAAATATGACGAAACAGTTATACAACACTTTCCGACATTTTTCATTTTATTATTTTATGTTTATTTTTCTAGAGACAGATTTTTTTCTCTCTGTCGCCCAAGCTGGAGTGCATTGCCATGCTCTAGCTTTCTGTAGCCTTGACCTCCTGGGCTTAAGCAGTCTCGAGTAACTGGTACTACAGGCATGCACCACTATGCTTGATTAACTTATTTTTTGTGTGTGTGGAGACTGTGTCTCACCATATTACCCAGGCTGGTCTTGAACTCAAGCTGTCCTCTCACCTTGGCCTCCCAAAGCATGAGCTACCACACATAGCTAAAATTTTCTTTTCATGGCATACTTACAAACTTATTAATTTACTGTAGCACGGTAGTATCTTATCTTTCCTAAAGGAGGACAGGTGTTAAGAGAATTATATGCTTGGCTAAATTTGGGGAAACGGGAAAGAATTACTGTGGATTAATGGGATACAAGGAACTTTAGAGCATATTAGGTGGAGCAGTTCTAGGAGTAGGTTAACAAAAGAGGATGTTCACAAACTATGAGAAGAATCTGGTCTCCTTCAGCTGTCCAGCAGTTTTTTCACAACCCACAGCTGAAATCTCCCTGCAGCAGGAAATCTAGAAAGAACCATGTAATGGTACTTTAAAATGAAAGCTTGAGCCTTTCTATGCTTTAGAAATAAAAGGAAACATAAATAAGATATTTTAACAGTATTGTACATAAGGACTTGAGAAAAGCTTTCAACTCTTAGTCATTGTAGGGTAGAGTTTCATTGGAGGGAAATGGACCAGCATTGTCCAACAGAAATAAAATGTGAGCCATGTATGTGGTTTTAAATGTAGGAGTCACATTAAAGAGGTTAAAAGGAACAAGTAAGATTAATTTTTATGTATTTTATTTAATATATGCAAAATATTTTCATTTTAATATGTAATCATTATCTTTAGAATTGCCCTTGAGATATTCTACATTCTTTTATTTCTACTAAGTCTTTGAAATCAATATTTTACATGCTCAGTTTGTACTGACCACTTTTTGAGGGCTCAGTAACCACAGGTGACTACTGGCTATGTATTAGATAGTACAGATATAGGCAATATTTTTTTTAATGTGCCATTAGCAGAACCTGGAAGAACTTCAGAATACAGAACATTAGGCAACTTTAAAATTAATCTTAAAATTAGCCAAATTAATGTTCTCTAATTTTTTATTAATGAGCCAGAATTTATTTAATAAAAGAGATAGTGTTCAGTTTAGATTATATATTACTTAAATAAAACCAATCTGAATTTAATGTGATTTAACTAATAGCTAGAGATATCTCGTTAGCATTCACTTGTGTTCATCAACAAATATTTTCTTGTCTCTTTACTCATTTAAGTGATTCAAGTTCATAGGCTCAGAACTTAACTCAGTTGACTGTACTGATGGCATCTTTTAAAAATATTTATTACCCTAAAAATGGTAATCATGCAGCCTCAGATTTGTTCAGGTCATTTAACATTCATTTCAGAACATACTTATTGGTGGATCCCAATGAACGAGAAGAACATGTAATGGATGGCTTGCTGGTGATTGCCATGAACAAACATCGAGAGATTTGTACCATCCAATCCAGTGGTGGAATAATGCTACTAAAAGATCAAGTTAGTCTCATTAAGAATAAGTTGCTTGTCTTTAGAAGCTTTTTCTCATCCTTTAGCCACATGAACTTTTAGAAATTAGATTGTCATGTAGCATACATATAGTTTAGGTGATTAAGAGCACATAGAGGCTGCTTTAGTTTGAATTCAAACTCTACCTTGTACTAACTGACCTTGGGCAAATGATTTCACATCTTTGGGCCTGTTTCTTTATTGTAAAATACGGAGTGATGTTATTATATTACTGACACCTTGTTCTTGGGATATAAGGATAGGTAAATAGGTATAGATATATTGCACAGTGTCTAGCATATATTAAGTGTACATTAAATATTAGTTTCTGTTATCATCATCGTCATTACTGGCATTACAGCTACTACCCAGATCTCTGTTTTTATGACTATCAGAGAAAGGGAGCTAGTACATCCCTGAGCATATGTGTGTATCTGTGGCCTCTTCCGTGGCATTTTCTGTACTGTCGTGTAAGAGAACTTTTGGGTTTGTTCCCTTAATGCGATAGTCCTTCACATATTTTAAAACAACTCTCATATCTTGCCTTAATCTGTGTTTACCTTGTATTTCATATTTGGGGGAAAAAAGGTGTAAAGGTAGAATAGTTTCATGGTTTTAGTTTCCCTAGAGAAAATTATTTGTCTTGTTGCCTTTAAATAACAGAATTCACTTTTATAAATAGGTTTTGAGATGCAGTAAAATAGCTGGTGTGAAAGTAGCAGAAATTACAGAGCTCATACAGAAAGCTTTGGAAAATGACCAGAAAGTTAGGTAAGTAACTTTTTCAGAAATGAATGGTCTTTTTATATATTTTTTCTGTTCAGGGTCTTCTCTACTCAAGGACAATCATATAATTTTCAGTTATTCTATTATTTGTTAATCTTAGTTGAATATACTACATAATACATTTTTTGAAAGTTGATTGGACTGTTATGTTTTATCCAATTTAAATATAACCTGTATTGAAAAGCCACATAAGATTTTTCTTTAGAAGTTCATTTTTTTTAAGGAAAAAAACCCCTAGGGTCTCAAATTAATGAAAAGAAAACAAACGAGTTGATTCCCATTACTACTACTTACACTGTGTTCCCTTAAGCAAGATATAGAACCCAGCACTTCAGTGTCCTCTTCTATCATATGGGATATTAAGGCCACCACAGTAGGACTGATCTAAAGATCAGAGTTGTATACTTCAGCACTTAGCACATGCATGACACATGGTTCAGTAAATGATGATGATGATGGGAACTTATTTCTCTTGATAGGCATAATAAGTTGGTGAGGTTAAGTTAAATAAACTATCTCTGTTCCAATATTCCTCATCCACCAAATGATAAAATAATAATTATTTTTCTTCTTGTTTTCCCTCTATTCTGTCATTTTCCTCCTCTACTCCCCCTCCCGAAAAAAACCCCACATACAGGAAAGAAGGTGGAAAGTTTGGCTTTGCAGAATCTATAGCAAATCAAAGGATCACAGCATTTAAAATGGAAAAGGCCCCTATTGATACCTCAGATGTAGAGGAAAAAGCAGAAGAAATCATTGCTGAAGCAGAACCTCCTTCAGAAGTGTATCTTTATTGGGTGGTTTTGCAGTAACAAAAAGATTCATAACCTTGTAGCCATTTGAAGAGTGTGCATAATGAAATTCTGAAATACTGTACTTTGTTAGCTAAAACACTTAAGTATAAGATAGTTATATGAGTCATAGTAAATTGGTAGTATAATATTCAGCTTGTCTTCACTTATCCTGCAAAAAACTTTTATTTTAAGAACCAATTTATAACATTTCATTTTCATCTGAAAAAATCTTCAATAGTGATGGTATAGTGAAGCACTTCATACACTGTTATTGAAATTATTCACTCACTAAATTTAGTACTACAACTAAAATGTTAAGAACCTGTCTCTTGATATGCTTTTATTTTTATTAATTATTTTTTATTTTTAGTGACAGGACCTTTGTTGCCCTGGCTAGAGTATAGTGGTTCATTCCTAGCTCACTGTAGCCTTAACCTCCTGGGTTCAAGTGATCCCTTCCACCTCGTAGCTAGAACTACATGCGAGTAATACCACGGCTGGCTAATTTTTTTTTTTTTTTTTTTTAATTGTAGGGACAGATTCTTACTTTGTTGCTCAGGCTGGTCTCGAATTCCTGGCCACAAGTGATTTTACCTCAGCCTCCCAAAGTGCTGGGATTACAGGCATGAGCCACTGTACCCAGCCAGATATTTCTTACCATTAATTGTTTCATAAAGTTTTACCTGAGTTGTAAACAAAGTTTTGCCTGAGTTATTTTTTTCTTCATTGTCTATTGTTCATTGTTTTTTTCCTAAGGATTCGAGGCATACCTGAATCAATCTTACAAGAAAACTTTCATTCTCATCTTTTTTAGTAGTATATTAAATAGATTTTAGGCTGGGCACAGTGGTCTATGCCTATAATCTCAGCAGAGGATTGCCTGAGCTCACTGGTTCGAGACCAGCCTGGGCAACTTGGTGAGACCTCTGCAATAAATGAAAAAATTAGCCAGGCATGGTGGCGCATGCCTGTAGTTTAAGCTACTTGGAAGGTTGAGGTGGAAGGATCGCCTGAGCCCAGCAGGTCGGGCCGTAAATGTGCCACTTCCTCTGCACTCCAGCCTGGGCAACAGTAAAAATTTGACTCAAAAAAAAAAAAGCAGTATTTTTATTACTCAGTTTTCTTAACTTGTTAAGTGTTTCTAAGCCTGTGCTGTGGACTCCTGGAACTGCCCAAATTGGAGAGGGAGTAGAAAACTCCTGGGGTGATCTTGAAGACTCTGAGAAGGAAGATGAGGATGAAGGTGGCAGTGATGAAGCTATCATTCTGGATAGTATAAAAATGGACACTGGAGTAGACATCTCTGATATTGGAAGCCAAGGTAGGTGACACTTTATGTATTGTGTATAGATACTTCTATATAGGCAATATATATTAATGCCAGTTCATTTTAAAAAGAATATGCTTATCTTTGTGGAGTAGTGGTACACTTTGACATATAAGGGATAGTGCCATTTTTCATGAAAACTTTGTTTTATTTTTCTTTATATAGTACTTGGGTCCGTTTTAAGGGGATGAGCTTCTTAAAGATCTAATTCTTATATGCTGTCTTTTGTTGTATAGTTTCTAGCCTGAAACATGAAAAGCATATATCATAACATAGTAGTACTGTCTGAGTAAAACTCTGTGATGATAGAGTTGTCTATACTGTATATCTATATTTGCACAGTATAGCAGCCACTAGCCCCATGGAGGTATTGAACTTTTGAAATGCATCTTGTGTGACTGAAGAACTGCCTTTTAAATTTTATTTAATAGTAGTATAAAGTTAAATAGCCATATGTGGCTAGTGGCTACCTATTAAGACAGTACAGCCAGGCAAGGTGGCTAGGTTAGAGGATTGCCTGAACCCAGGGCAACTTGGCAAAACCCCATCTCCACAACAAATCAAAAAATTAGTTGGGCATAGTGGTGTGTACCTGTGGTTCCAGCTACTTGGAAGGCTGAGGTGGAAGGATTGCCTGAGTCCGGCAGGCTGAGGCTGTGGTAGCAGTATTAGAACATAAAAAAAACTTATGGCTAGGTGCAGTATCTCACACTTATAATCCCAGCACTTTGGGAGGCTGAGGTGAGAGGATTTCTTGAGCTCAGGAGCTTGAGACCAGCATAAATAGCATAGTGAGACCTCATCTCAGCAACAACAACAACAAAAAATTAGCCTCGTGTTGTGGCACATTCCTGTTGTCCTAGCTACTTGGGAGTCTAGGTGGGAGGATCACTTGAGCCCAGAAGGTTGAGGCTGCAGTGAGCTGTGATCTTGCTACTGCACTTTAGCCTGGGTGACAGAATAAGACTCTGGCTTGGGGGGTAGGGAGAGGAGGGGAAACCCTCTTAGAAGTGACTGGAGTACTGGTAGCTCCTTGTATTCTGAAAGCTGCAGACCTGAAGGAATTAATTGATTTTACTTAACATTTCTACTTTGGAGAAAATGAAATTCTGGCTTGGTCCATCTAATAAAATAATGACTTTTTTGTGTGTATAGTTAAAAACAGAAATCACACAGGAATCTAGGAACTAGGCTGGCAGGAAACTAGAGAATACACTTACTAAATCTGGATAAGGAAACAGTAAAGGGGATCCTGTTTAGTAGGAATGTGATGTACATATCAGCTGCATTCAGACTTTTTTTGTGTCATGGTCTCACTCTGTCACCCAGGGTGGAGTGCAGTGGCACAATCACGGCTCACCACAGTCTTAACCTCTGGATTCAAGTGATTCTCCTGCCTCAGCATCTAGAGTAGATAGGAGCCACACCAGCACACCTGGCCAATATTTTTGATTTTTTGTTTAGATGGGATCTTCCTTTGTTGCTCAGGCTGGCCTCAAACGCCTGGGCTCCAGCAATCCTCCTGCGTCAGTCTCCCAAGGTGCAGGGATTATGGACATGAGCCACTGTGCCTGGTCATGGAAATTATTGCTTATGAACATTACTGAGAGGCCAGCCATGGTACAATCATAGCACTTTAGGAGGCTGAGGCAAGGAGGATCACTTGAGGTCAGGAGTTCAAAATCAGCTTTGACAACATAGCAAAACCTTGTCTCGAAAATAAATTTTAAAAATTAGTCAGGCATGTTGGTGTGTGTCTATAGTCCCACCTATTTGGGATGCTGAGGTGGGAGGATCTCTTGAGCCTGGGAGTTGTTACAGTGAGGTATGATCACAGCACTGTACTCCAGCCTGGGAGACAAGATCCCAGCTCCTAAAAACAAATACTGAGAGCCTACTGGCCTTTTTTTTTTTTTTTTTTTTTAATCACTCAGGTAAATAGATGAGGGGAAAAAAAGTCCCATTGATTGGGACCCTTATTCAACTTTCCCAGTGGTTACTTTTTTTTTTGAGTTGGAGTCTCACTCTGTCACCCAGGCTGGAGTGCAGTAGCACACTCACAGCCACCGCAGCCTTGACCTGCTGGGCTCAGGTAATCCTTTGGCCTCAGCCTTCCAAGTAGCTAGAACCACAGGCATGTGCCATCATGCCCAGCTAATTTTTTGTTTTTTATTGTAGAGGTGAGCTCTCACTATGTTGCTCAGGTTGGTCTCAAACCCCTGAGCTCAGGTAATCCTCTCACCTCCCACTTCCAAAGTGCTGGGATTATAGGCGTGAGCCACTGCTCCTGGCTCCCAGTGGTTACTTCTATTTGATAGTATTCTTCCTGAACTTGTTCCAAGTATATATTTACAATATGCAGTGATGTAAGGTGGTTAAACACAGGGATTTATCTTTAGAAGTTTTTCATGTCATTGTATGTAGACTATATCTTATATTTTTTTAATGTGTGGTGACATGTAAAAAAAGTCACCAACAAGCATTGTAGGTTCATTGGTACATGCTGTGCAATCATAATTTATTTGACATCTTCCACCTGGTGTTTTTCTATTTGAGCAGACAATGCCAACTCATTTTCTTCCTCCCTTATTAATATGTAATTTATGGTCCAGCCTGTTGTTGAAAGACAATGTGGAAGGAGGCACTTGTGATTTCTGAAAACAACCTCTCAACTGATTGATCAGAAGCTTGACAAATTTTAAATGGGACATAAACTTTTCATTATTTTTGAATGGAAAACTGCAAGGAAACATTTTTGAAAAATTTGTGGTTGCATAAATTTCTCCTGTATAATCACCAGCAATCTTTTTATGTCCCCTTAGAGGGGACATCTGAGTACAAAGGGCTAATAATGCTAGTGTACTTGTACCTGCATATACATCTTTATATATTTGTTTAGTATTCTTCTGAGGCTAAAAGATTTAAAGTCAGATATTCTATTTTTGATTGGAAGAGTAGTTTTCAACTGAATAAGGAAGGTGAACCTGAGCTAATCAGGGAGATGAGACAGGTAAAGCCTTTCTAAAACATGTGAAGCAAGGGAGGAACTAAAAAATAAAAAGGAAGAATTGCCATACAAGCAACCAACTGGGGAAAGGATTAATTCATGATACACACACATACATATATATATATCAAGGTCAACCCTGATAGTAGTAAAGGAAATAAATTCAAAGGAAACTGACTTGATTACTATGTTGGGCAGTATTAAAAATAACAGCATTGTCAAGTGTGTATGAGAAAAGAGTTTTTTCACTATTTCTCAGAGTGTAAATTGGAACTATTTCTGGAGGGACTTGGCAAAAGTATCTTTTAGAATGTATATGCCTTTTGACCCAACAATTCTGCCTCTAAGAATTTTTCTTCCAGTGTTTATAGTAAGGAGAAAATAGAAATAACAAATGCTAGGATAAACTGGTACCTTCTTATAGAACAGAGTATCACAAACAGTTCAACTGGCACATTGACTTCAGATCATTTCCAAGTTAGTTCTACAAAAGATGCTATATAGATTTTCCCTAACTTCTATTATGATATGTGTCAAATGGTTATATAATTAAGGAATCTTTGGGAAATAAGATATTAAACAATTTTTGCACACGAGTTCTTTAGAGCTCCAAGGATTGACTTATAAGGAGAAAAATATAGTAGTTTGGGCTGTCTTATAACTTGTTAAAACCCTATGTTGAAATATACTTATGTTGCTTTCTTAACATTTTTTTAAAAAGATGCCCCTATAGTACTCTCCGATAGTGAAGAGGAAGAAATGATCATTTTAGAACCAGACAAGAATCCAAAGAAAATAAGGTAACAAATTTCTGGTTTATTTGACTTCAGTAAGCCACTTATTTTCAGTTTCAGGGTCTTTCTCTGCAATATAAAGGAGTGGGACTAAAATAGTGATTCCCATATCTGGTAGATCACCAGAATCTTTTGGGGGATTTCTTTCTTTCCTCCCTCCCACCCTTCCTCGCTTCAGACTTACTCTCTGATCTTACTCCCAAAAGGACACCCTTTTTCATTAAATCCCTAGGTATTTGGTGGTTTCTCCACCGTGGTTTAAAAAATTAGGACTCAATTCTACAAAACACTTTGTACAGTTGTATTTCCTTCACTCTCATAGCTGACACATTTCATATCCTAGAAAAAAAATAAGGAAGGCCTGCTATTTCAGTGATTCAGAATTTAAGAAAAGCATGCTGTTAGTAAACTGTTCATTTACTTTATTCACAGAACACACACCATCAGTGCAAAACAAGAAAAGGCACCAAGTAAAAAGCCAGTGAAAAAAAGAAAAAAGAAGAGAGCTGCTAATTAAAATGGACATGGTTGTATATTTGTATATATAGCTATTAAAAGGATATTTATTCAGTTTATAACAACTTGGATATTTTTTATTCACAAATCCATTATAAAATCTAGTGGGTTTTTAAAAAGTAGTTTCCTTTACATCATACTTTAAAATAAACTTCCTGGAGAACTTCTTGTCTGTTAATTTGCACAAAAGCTTCCCACCCCATCCATAATCTGTTGAGTTTTTGTCCTCAGAACCAAAACAGGTTTTAAATAACTGACCTGAGTAAAGTATAAATGGTGAGGAATTAGAAACCATTTCATGGCGTGGGCTGCTGCAGTTATGTACAAAGAGCTGAAAAAGTCTAAGGATCCTCACTGTACTGATAAATGAGCACAGATTTATTACACATATGCTTAGATTATGCCCAAGGCAGCAAGTTGGTCCAGTGGCTTAGGAAACTGTCAGAATCTGAGGGTCTGACACTGGGCACAGTGGCTCATGCCTGTAATCCCACCTCCTTAGGAAACCTAGAGAAGAGATTGCCAGAGCCCAGGGATTCAAGACCAGCCTGGGCAACTTGGCGATGCCTCGTCTCCACAACAAATTTTTAAAAAATGAGCCAGGTGTGGTGGTACACACCTGTAATTACAGCTACTTCAAAGGCTGAGGCAAAAGTATCATCTCAGCCCAGGAGGTCGAGGCTGCAGTGGCTGTGACTATGCTGCTTATACTCCAGCCTGGGCGACAGACTCCAACTCAAAAGAATTTGAGGGTCTGTTTCCCTAAAACTAACTTTAGGGGAAGGCATTCCACTTCCCATTGTATAGTAAACCAAGTAAGCTTTTTTAAAGTGAAATCTTGACGATGTCAGATCTTTACCTCAAATTAAATTTGGCTTGCAAGCAAAGTTTTCCGAGTCATTTTATTGATTCTTATTATCCTGACAGTTGGCATCATTAATACTTTAACCACTTAAAATTAGCCAAATATCTAAGGTAGATACATGTACAAAAGATATACAAATTAAAACCATTTAAAAAGTAATAGATACCATAATTTGTATTTGGCCATAACTTGTATTCAGAAATGATTGCAGCCGGGCTCGATGGCTCAGCCTGTAATCCCGCGCTTTGGGAGGCTGAGGTGAGTGAATTGCCTGAGCCCACGGGTTCGAGACCTGCCTGGGCAACTTGGCGAGACCTCATCTCTACAATACATCAAAAAAATTAGCTGGGCGTGGTAGCGTCTGCCCGTGGATCCGGCTACTTGGCAGGCTGAGGTGGAAGGATCGCCGGAGCCCAGCAGGTCAAGGCTGCAGTGGCTGGGAGCGGCCACTGCACTCCAGTCTGGTGACAGAGTGAGATTCCAACTCAAAAAAAAAAAAATGATTGTAAAATTAATACTAAAAACTGTACATCATATACTTGAAGTGATTTACATCTTGGAAGACAAAGGCAGTCTTTCACTGTTACAGACTTAGTGTCTCTGGTGGGTTGAGGAGAGAAACACCATGATACCTGTAAGAAGGAAAAAAAAACCACTTTAGTACATTCATTGGGTAAAGGAGGTAATGGAATACATTAGCTGGAAATTTTAAAAATACTATTTCTATCTGATTGTTAATGGTTTTGGAAACATTGTTCTCCAAAACATGCATGTCCCCCTCCTCGCCTTTGCCCCCAGATGCAGGGCAGAAAGCATTGACTACAACTTCCAAACACATGCCTTGGGACGAGAACAGCTGCTCAAGAAGGCTACAGCAGATTCGTGAATCCATAATAAAGGTTAAAATCAATGATCTCTGAACCATAGCCTGGAAAAGCAAGCTGCTTCCATATCTATCCAAGTTAACTCTTACTTTGAGTTTTTGTACTTTTCTCTTATTGACTGTTGTGCATGCTGTGGTGCTTTGAGGTAGGTCTGGTGAAGGTCCATGAGACAAGGCTTCAGGCTTTCCAGGGTATATCCAGTCTTCTGTACTAATGATTCAGGCTACAGAGAAGGGCACAGAGAACCCCTAAGTTTTGTTTTTAGTAACAGACACTACACAGTTAATAGTTGGCATTAAGCTTGAGTTCTGTTAAATTGCAGCACTAGTTGTTAACAACTCCAGCTAATAGGTGTAGTTTTCTCAGGCCACTATTCCATGGCATTTATGCCGATTATGTTTTGACTACTCTCCCTGCCAGCACCAGGTCGGATGGCCCAGGTTCTTTAAGCACATCTTTCCAAGTTGAAACTAAGCTTTCCACCTAGCAGATACCAAGCCTTACACAGTACAGTTATCCCTCAGAACAGATGGGGGGCTGGTTCCAGGACCTCTCCCCCCAGGACACCCAAATCTGTACATACTCAAGTCCTTCAGTTGGCTCTCTGTATGCCCAGGTTTTGCACCACTCAAATACTGTATTTTGACCCAGATTTGGTTGAAAAAAATTCCATGTATGAGTGGACTGGTAGGTAATTCAAGCCTGTGTTGTTCAAGGGCCAACTGTACATACTTGAGCAGTTTTTCCAAGTAAGAACATGTAGACAACCATCCGTTCCGCAGGACAATTATCTGATCTGGCAAGCAATTCAGTCACAAGGTAGACATGATGACAGTATGATACATACCCAGCTCTGTCCCGTGACTGTGTAGAGTGCTAAATGAAAGGCCGCTCCAGCAATGACTGATGGCAAATACTTCAGGTATGGGTCAGCATCGATTAGACTTAATTCTCCCAAAAACTAGAATGAGGAATACTTCATGATCACACAAGCTTTAGAATGCAAACCTGAAACCCTTGCCTTCTGATCTAATATTTTCCCAATCTTTAATATTGGCTCATAGCAATGTAGAAAAAATACTCCACAGTCTCATCGTTAAGCATATCCTCTATTTTAGTGTTTTGCTCCATTCTCATCCTATATTCTTCCCTTGCAACTTTTTAAAAACAACTCTTCTGACTGTCTCCTCCCAACACTTCATTCTCACACAACCATTCCTAGTGCTTTCCTGACGTGTATGATCTTTTGCCAGCGGTAGGCATTTTTCCATGATGTGGCATAGAATACTAAATCTCTTGACCAGTGCAGTACAGTGAAACTAGGGCTAAGAATCTCCAACAAAATAAAAGTTAACTTACCATCGCCAAACTTTCAACTTTGCAGTTTGCAGGCTGTTGATGCAGAAAATATTGGGTAAGAAACTGATTGACTGTTGGTGCAGCTAAGTCAAAAGTAAGGACTTTCAAAACCAGGTGCTCCATTCTCAGAACTTGTTTCTTGGTATAGGTATCATCTGTAATGTACACAAACTCTGCTACTTCTGGGGGGTATATTTCTTCAAACTTTCTACAATGAAAAGTTTTAAATAATCAGTCTAAAAAATGAAGCAAGCATCCTGATCCTAATTTTGAAATCCCATTAGCAGAATATATGGAATGAATCCAAAACCCACACTCACCACCGACTACATTTCCACTGATACCTCAACATCATTTCTAGCAGAGTGAGTAGTTAACTGCTAATTAAAATCAATCAATAGAGGCCGGGCTCGTGGCTCAGCCTGTAATGCCAGCACTTTGGGAGGCCAAGGCGAGTGGATTGCCTAAGCCCGCAGGTTCAAGACCCGCCTGGGCAACTTGGCGAGACCTCGTCCCTACAATAAAAAAATTAGCCAGGCGTGGTAGTGTGCACCTGTAGTTCTGGCTACTTGCAAGGCTGAGGCAGAAGGATGGCTGGAGCCTGGCAGGTCGAGGTTGCAGAGCGCGGGAGCGTGCCACTGCACTCCAATCTGGGTGACTCCAACTCAAAAAAAAAAACAACCAATAATAAAATAAGTCAATAAAGGACTTCTGAGAGATTTCTCCTAGTGCAGTCAAAGGAAATAAATGAAAGGCTTGATATTTCCCAAGTAGGTCACCAAATAGCTGAAAATCTAGGAAATACAAGTCTTAGGAAAATAAATGTTTTATGTTTTCCTTTTTAAATTAAATTTTCAAGGCTGGGTGCAGCAGCTCATACCTACAATCCCAGTACTTTGGGAGGCAGGTGAGAGGTAATTTACCTGAGCCCCAGGGGTTCGAGACCAGCCTGTGCAACTTGGCGAGACTTCGTCTCTACAAGAAATAAAAAAATTGGCCAGGCACGGTGGGATGTATCTGTGGTTCCAGCTACTTGGAAGGCTGAGGCAGAAGGATAGCCTAAGCCTAGCAGGTTGAGGCTGTGGTGGCCACGAGCTTGCCACTGCACTCCAGCCTGGGCCACAGAGTTAAGACTCCAACTTAAAAAAAACAAATAAATATAGTTTTCACATCTTGATGGAGAGAAGACACTGCTTATATGCCAGAAAACACTTTATTGGAGGAATACGCTTTTAAAAGTTGTAATCTAGTCCTAGTGTACTAAACAGTAGCCAGTCAGCATGTTCATTTAAGGTACCCTGGAGCCTGGAGACCAGATCAGTTAATGTCCTAGATTAGAACATCCCCTCCTTCCCCACCCCCCACACTGCCATCCCTGAAGTAATCACTGACTATCTGCCTGGTATAATATATTAAAATGTCACAATTAAATTATAAAGTCACAATTTCTTCCCTACGTAAAGAGGTAGTGATCACTTTTACTCAAACAAACCAAGGTAGACTTACGAGGCTAATAGCATAGCAGCAGTGCCCACAAGCTGAAGCTTTCCTCTCAGTACAGACATGGAAGAAAGGAACCTATCAATGTAGTTCACAGCCAAATGCAGGGTTTCATTCTGTAGTTTATATTCTTCTCCTACTTCAACTAACCAGTCCACGAGGATAGCCCTCATACTGTTAGTGATGTCTGGCTGTTTCTTCATGTAACCCACTTTAGGTTTACATTTAACCTGTAGATTAAGTTATTTCGTAGTGTTAAAATTGCAATTAGATTACTGATCATTAATAAAGATGCTACGTGCTATAAACTTAAGTATAGCATTAGAATTCACTAGTTAAAACAATTTAACATTATCCTCTTGATTTCATTTAGCCACATTTAATGAATACATCATGCAACTTGAATTCAGAGAGACTTACCTCCATTTCCCTAAGGTATGTGTGAATATCCTCATGGTAGTCTGGCACTTCATTAACATTTACTAACTTCTCCTCTTCTAATACAATTGACATGTCCATAGTATGTGGTGACTCTGGAACAATTCAAAAGACATGATTAAATTGTTTAATTTTCTATTTAGTTTTTTTTTTGAGTTGGAGCCTCACTCTGTCGTCCAGACTAGAGTGCAGTGGCCACTTCCGGTCACCGCAGCCTCGACCTGCTGGGCTCCGGCAATCCTTCCGCCTCAGCCTTCCAAGTAGCCGGAATTACAGGCATGCACTACCACGCCCGGCTGATTTTTTTATTTATTGTAGAGATGAGGTCTCGCTGCCCAGGAGGGTCTTGAACCCGCGGGCTCAGGCAATCCACTCACCTCAGCCTCCCAAAGGCGCAGGATTACAGGCTGAGCCACTGAGTCCGACTCTGTTTAGTTTAATAGCTAAAACTGACTGCCCTTGTAAGGAAATCTAATACTACCAAAGCATTTTTTTCATCCAACTAAATGGGTTTCTAATGACAAAATACATATGGTTTTAGTATCTCTCTGTGCACATAGCTTTGGAATGATTTTAATTAATGAGAAAAAAATACTGATAGGCCACTAACAGGAAAACAAGGATTAGGTATTATCTTAAAATATTCATCTTACATGAGAAAAAGGAACAGACGGTATGGTTGTTCTGTTTGGATAGAGAACTTAAAATCCAAACTTTGAGATAATATCTAAGATTTGCCCTAAAAGAAATTGTATAGTCAATAGACACAGTCAAAACACAATTAGGCAGTAGCTGGAATCAGTTAAATGGCTTCCATGAATAAACGTTAATGAGGAAATTAGGTCTGTTATGGGTAAACAGATTAACACTATAATCAATAAGTGACTCGCTTCTTGTATTATAAATCTTTTGAGGCAAAGAATATAAACTATTATTCTTTTCAATTCAAAGATCACCTTGAAGTTAAATATTTGTTGCAAAATTTGAATAAAATCATACAAATCATGATTTTTAAAAAGACTTTACTCTCCTCCCCTCCCCACCCCCATCAACAAGGCTGAAATGAACTTGGATTTAGTGAACTGGCCAGTGACTCAAAAGCCCTATGGTAAAGAAACAGCACTGTAGGCAGAGCTGTTTACAGCAGCCACTCTATTTTAAGTATGGATAACTGCAAACAACCATGGTACAACTTGCAGCAGGAGAGTGTCATTTTCTGGTGTCAGATGATCACTCAGACTGGCTTTATAGAAACAAAATTGTAAACCCGGAAGAGATGTTAGATCTCACAATATTTAAGACTGCATCCTCAAATAGCACTCTCAAGTGTACCACTATAAGCAGTTCTTATAAATACAAATGAAATCTATTCTCAAGAAAACACTTATGGGATCAGATCAAAATAAGAAGCCAAAATCAGCCGGGCTCAGTGGCTCAGTCTGTAATCCCGCACTTTGGGAGGCCGAGGCGAGTGAATTGCCTGAGCCTGCAGGCTCAAGACCTGTCTGGGCGACTTGGCAAGACCTCATCTCTACAATAAATCAAAAAATTAGCTGGGCGTGGTAGCACACGCCTGTAGTTCCAGCTACTTGGAAGGCTGAGGCAGAAGGATCGCCGGAGCCAAGCAGGTCCAGGCTGCGGTGGCCGGGAGCAGCCACTGCACTCCAGTCTGGGCAAAGAGTGAGACTCCAACTCAAAAACAAACAAAAAAAGAATCCAAAGTCTCATTAAATTGGTGTGAGTGGTAGTATACCCACGGAAGCACTGTATTAGAATTCTTCTGTAGGTCATTAGGTCAAGTGTTAGCTGAGAGATCTGAGATATGTCACATCCTTTCTAAACCATGATACACTAAACCTAACTCGCTGTTGTCATAATGATGAGGTAAGCTTGTTTTAAAATGCAAAATATCATGAATCCAATCCAATAGCTATAATTACCATAATCCGACACAGATTTTTAAAACTTACCAAAACTACCATCCATTGGATAATCAAGAGGTACCAATGGTTGTCTTGGTCCAGGTAAAGCAATAGCTGAATTGAAAGCCAGAACATCTTCATGCTCTGTGTTTTGGGACTCAGCTGGCCTCTTTTGAGTTTCTTCTGCTTCATCCACATGAATGGTGAATGCAGGTTGCTTACTGTTTGCTTTCCAAGGAGGAACAGTGACATGCTCATCATTTATAGGAAGATCCTTAAGAGGTGCAACCTAAAAAAGAAATTAATAACTGGCTTTGAATTATTAAATAGAGTTTTGCCTTCTTTTCCTTATGAGTCTCAGCTTTTGCTTTTTCTCCCAAAATCTCCATCAGGAAATTAAACTTTCTGAGGTCAAATCCAGGAAAAGAATAGTTTGAGAGTCAAAAAGAAGGGATGTTCCAATTTGCCACAGACATTCCCACAAAGGCTATGAAAAGAATAAATATTAAGTGGAAGTATGCAAAACTAATCAATGCCACAAGAAAGTAGGGTGGCAGGCCAACAGGTCACAAGTTTAGGAAACAGATGGCAAAAATGTTGGTTTACCACTTTCAGCCCAGGGTGGAGCGAGAGCAAATCCGGCTAAAATGGCGGAATTTACCAAAAGCAAAGTGCTTTTATACCCTTTCCTAAAGTGGAGGTAATCTCTCAACCAGACAGTGAAGAGAGGTTCTACACCAGCGCTTCAGGCTTAAAAATGGAAAGAAAGGCGAGGAGCTGGACAGAGAACACGTTTCGGGGCTTGGTTTGACTCCATTATATATAGGAAGATACCCTCAATAGAGAGGACAGGCAGTACAGGTCCAGTGTTGGCGGGGATCATAACGCTCAGAATGGAAGAAGCTCCTACTGTGGCATCCCATACACCAGCACCAGGTGGAAGCCAGCCCCGTCCTATCCCTCCCCCCAAAGCCCGGGGATGCTTTCTCTCACTCACCTCGACATGCTAAGCCCTTGCCCAACTCCCGCCCAGCCCGTCCTCCTTCAGCTATCTCGCATCCCTTTACCCGTCGCGTCTTGGGCCTCTGCTGCAGCACTGGACCCCGCGGGTTCCCGGACTTCAGGGCTGCCAGCGCGGCCCGGGTCCGCGGCTGCTGGGCAGGCGCTGCCTTCTCCGGGTTGATGTTCTCCTGGTCTTCTTGGAGCGTCTTCTGCTGCAGAGTGAGTGCGGAAGCCGCCTCGCGGGCGCCAGGCCCCGGCACCGAGCTGCCTAACATCACTTCTCCCGGGGGCGGGCGCGGGCGCGGGATCAGCTTGCGGCGCCAAGCAGCGTGTACTCTGCCCCGCCGACCGGTCGCGCCGGCCCGGGCGAGGACACTCCGGTCGCAGCCGCCCGTTTGCCCGGCACGGGACCACGGAGAGCTGAGGTTACAAGAGGTGCAGGAACGCGATGCCCGGCGAGGCGGCCTCAAGACGCCCCGAGAAGCAGCCAGCAGCCCGCCGGAGCGGCGGCTGTTCGTGCAGTTCAAGTATCCCGCGACTATTGAAATGGGCCAATGAGCGCAGCCGCAGCTCGCACGTCACTCGGGGCGACAGGGTCGCAGGCGAGTGAACGAACCGAATGGGGCGGGGCCAGGCGGGGCGGGGCAACGGCGAGCTAGGGCTGGAGGAAAGGCGCCTGCGCGGGCGGAGGAGTGGGAACGCGGAGCCCGAGTTCTGCTGAATTATCTGAGGCGCAAGGTGGACCCTGGGCTTGGGGCCGGGGTTGCTGCTAAGCCTTTTAGGACAAACAGAACTAAACTTAAGCAACTACCAGTGGGTCGCCCCCCCGCCTCCAGCCCTGGGACCTCTAGTTAGCTACTTTCCTTCCAGCGTATAAAATCGGGGTCAAGTTTTCAGTATCTCTGACTCTGTTTCCTTATCTGTTAATTGGGAGTAATAATCTTTACACAGTTAGCATTAAATAATGTGCTTAACTCATTTAACACGCTGCTCACATAGTAATACAGTACTCAGTGGCAGACTAGATCATCTTACCATTTAGGTGTTTATTCATAGTAGACAGAAATTGTCTTCGGCTTTTTGTTTTTCCTAGTAAAGATGCTATTAATTTAAGATGCCACTTTGAACTACTGTTGATGTATATATAACAAATAGTAATGGATTACAAGATATTCAAACAGTCACTAATTTGTATCTATTTGTCCCCAAACTGTGGCAGTCAACAAAAAAACAATGAAATTCTAGTGACCAAGATACATGTTCTATTCAGAAATGAACGTTGTTTAAATGTGGTAAAAATAATATCGTCTTATTAAAATAAAACTCTCTTAATTACATGTACATTTAACATATTTTTATATTTATATACAAGGCTTGCACATGACTAATAAATACAATGGAATATAATTAAGCACTGCTTTCTGACATTAACTAAAAGTATGAAATAAAAGTATGTGCACAGTTGGCTTGTCATTGCTGTAACACTTTTCACTTAAGCAGACGGCTTCTTCAGTACTTTACCTTGCTTATATTTCATGCTGCATCAAAGAAAGCAATCAGTGCATTTTGGTCATAACTGCCCAGAATCTCCAGAAGAAGAGGAACTTTAGTTTTTACATTGGTGCCTTTGAACTTAAACTTATCAATGAAAAGATCTGTGATCATGCCTATAAAGAAAAATGTTAATTTTCTGTCATTGATTAGTTCTATTTAATGACATAGTATTTCATGAATGTGAATAACTGCTTAATAATATATTTTTAAACACCTGTAATTCCATTATTTAACATACATAAACCTAAAAGGGTTGATGCTTTTAAGAAAAGAAATCCTTTTGGGGGTGATTTTAAAGCAAGTTTTAAGATATAAATCATTCAGCTAACACTATTAACAACTGGTTACAAGCTATTAATTCAGATAATCAACTGCTGGCCATTTGTGAACTGCTTTCAGTATATGCCATAACAATAAGTGGTTTATTTTTTCCACCAAGCAAATCAATTTTTTTTTTTTTTTTGAGTTGGAGTCTCACTGTTGCCCAGACTGGAGTGCAGTGGCACACTCCAGGCCACCGCAGCCTCGACCTGCTAGGCTCTGGCGATCCTTCTACCTCAACCTTCCAAGTAGCCAGAACTACAGACGCATGCTACCATGGTCTGGCTAATTTTGGGGGGGTTTATTGTAGAAACAAGGTCTCGCCAAGTTGCTCAGGTGGATCTCGAACAAGCAGGCTCAGGCAACCACTTGCCTTGGCCTCTCAAAGTGCTGGGATTACAGGCTGAGCCACTAAGCCCAGCCACAAATCATTTTCATGCAATATAGGTAGATTCTATTCTTAACAGTTTTTTCTGAATTAAAATATTCCAACCTATATGCTGGCCATTCTTGGGATCAGACATGAAGGCAAATACTCCTGAGTTCAAATATCTGGGCAAATTATTTCACCATTGAGTTTTCTCATATCTACAACAGGAATAATTCAAGCTGTCAAGTCTTTATTCAAAACCCTCGATGCAAGATGTATTTCAAACGTTTTCCTATTTTAGGAAGATAATAAAAGGAATATACTATGTATGGTATTTTGTTTTTTTTTTGAGTTGGAGTCTCACTCTGACACCCAGGCTGGAGCATAGTAGCACACTCACTGACACCACAGCCTAAACCTGCTGGGCTCAGGCAATCCTTCTGCCTCAGACTTCCAAGTAACTAGAACAACAGGCCATGCCACCACATCTGGCTAATTTTTGATTTACTGTAGAAATGAGGTATTGCCAAGTTGCCCAGGTTTGTCTCGAACCCATGGGCTCAGGCAATCCTCTCACCTTGGCCTCCCAAAGTGCTGAGATTATAGTCGTGAGCCACCATGCATGGCCTCTATGTATGGTATTAATTGGAGGGGGACTGAGTGACAGCATCCCAAAACAAAACATAGTAATATTTCTGCAACAAAGTATGTGGATGAATATTTGCAATACGTGAAATGCAAAAATTATAAATAACTTCATGTGAGGTTAAGTCAGATTTTGTTATTAAGTCAAGAATTTGCTGCCAAGTGATTTAAGAAAAAAAGTTTTGGTTTACTCTTTTTTTTTTTTAACTGATACTTGGCGAGACCGCATCTCTACAATAAATAAAAAATTAGCCGGACGTGGTAGCGTGCGCCTGTAGTTCCAGCTACTTGGAAGGCTGAGGTGGAAGGATTGCCAGAGTCCAGCAAGTTGAGGCTGCGGTGGCTGGGAGTGGCCACTGCACTCCAGTCTGGGCAACGGAGTGAAACTCCAACTCAAAAAAAAAAAAACTGATACTGAATTATTTATTAAATTCTTATCCCATTTTTCAGATGTTGCCAGTTTTTTTAAAAAAAATTATTTTATTTTAAAGATGTGGGGTACAATTCAGGATTAGGTACATAAGTACATAAGTAGTTATTATCCAGGTGAAGAAAAGTTTTGGTTTTCAAAGCTGTCTGGATTTTGGAATCAGTGATAAGAGATGGTGGATCTGCACCACCAACATCATAAGTTGATAAAAGGATACAAGAGATTCCGTGCTTGCTATAGAGTAAATATTAAGATATTAGATATTGTTACAGTTTGTGAGAAAATCTCTGTATATGTAATCAGAATCCAGTAGACAGGCTTAAGGATCAATGTAACTGATGACATGAATTGACTGATTCTACAGTGACTATGGAAGACTTGGCATAGTGTAAAAAGCATGCATTTTGGTGTAAGAAGATTCTAATGTAGGCTTTACCATCAACTAGCTACAACAAATTCTACAGTCTCAGGCTTCAGTTAAAGAATATAAAAAATGGGCCACTGCTTTGTTAAACTCTGGGGTATCCACATGGCTCTTAGGCCTATGGCCGCCATGTTTCCTAGCTTTGGCCCCTCCCCTACCTTGAGGAGGTGAATCTCTCAATATCTCTCTCTCTCTCTCTCTCTCCCCCTCCACCTCCTTCTCTCCCTCTCTCCTCCTCCCTCTCTCTCTCTCCAATTTACTCTCTAAATAAACTGCATTTTCAATCTAAAAAAAAAAGAATATAAAAAATAAAGTAGGATTAGGTATTCTACCAGATTATGAAGATGGTAGAAGTAGTGTGCTATGCACAATAGGTTTTAAGCTGTTCCTTCCTTCTTTCCTCCCTCTTTCCCTCCTCTCATCTCTCTCCCTCACTCTTTCTTTCAAGACAATTTGTGAAACACCCAGCTTCTCAACTCCAAAGCAAGTTTTTAACTGCAAAAGGATATAGTACATATACTGTATCTCTTTTATTACAGTTCACCTGAAAAATAAAAAATTCTGCATTTTTGTTTGTTTGTCTGTTTGTTTGAGTTGGAGTCTCACTCTGTCGCCCAGACTGGAGTGCGGTGGCCGCTCCCGGCCACCGCAACCTCGACCTGCTGGGGGCTGGCGATCCTTCCGCCTCAGCCCT